GGCAGGCGGCAAAACGACTGAGCTAAATCCCTGGCCCCAAAAAATTTCTGTGTTTTTTTTTTGGTACCATGGATCAAACTCGGGACCTTGTGCTTGCAAGGCAGGCGGCAGCACCACTGAGCTAAATCCCCAGCTGAGGTTTTGACCATAACAACAAAGCAGTGGTCTTTCCAGGCAGCACAAACCCAGAAAGATTTCCACTCCTTATCCCTTTGCTGGCACACCCCCACCCCCACCCCAAGTGTAACTGCTGGAATACGCCAAGCATCCCCTTGTGAGATGAATAAGGTTCAAATCCACAAAGAGGACACCATGAAGAGCAGCCAGTGTGACAGCCATTTGGCCCCCGACCTCAACAATTCCTTCTCAGCCACCTCATGAGGCTCTCACCTCCGCTCTCATACGTTTTGCTCGTCGGGCTGGGGGACATGTTTCTGAGGGCTGCACAGACTGCCTCTGGGGAATATCGTGGGGTTTGTACTCCTTGTCCTTGGTGTCTGTGGTCAGGTTGGGCTTCTGTAGACACTAGAAATAAAACACAATTGTACTGATTAATTTTTCTTAATCTTCAAATGTTTTGCTTATTTTTAGAAGGTATATCTTACAACTTATATAAATAACATGTCTGTTTCTTTAAAATTTAAATACAAGGACAAGTCTGTAGATACAAGCATACACATGCATATAAATAGGTATAGCCTACTTATATAGCCTTAAAATGTTTTTCTTTTCTTTTTTGTTTTTTTGGGGATAAGGTTTCACTATGTAGTTCAGGCTGCCCTTGAACTCATGGTGATCCTCCTGCCTCAGCCTCCCAAGTCCTGGGATTACAGCCATGCCCCATCACACCTGGCCAAAATTTTTTTCTAATAAATGAATAGTAGTGCCTTAATTTATTTCACTGCTGATTTCATCAGGTTACAAGAAGCCACAGCAGGCTCGAGGCACTCCCAGAGAGCTACTTGCTATCTATTTCCTGTGCTTGCAACTGTCAATTAACTGAAGACCCAAACAGTTAGAAAGGCCTCTTGTAAGTATCAACAATAATTTTCCATATTAAGGATATAACATATTTTTTAAAGTGAAGTAATAAAAGAGAATCCAACAGGTTTTCTACATTTTTAAAATCCTCTAGTTTCAGATGTAACTAGCAAACCTACTGTCAAATATGTCACCTGAATGGAGAAAATAGCCATTGTACCAAAGTATCCTTCCTTACCAGGGTTTTCATTTACTTCAGCTTATTCTTTTCAAGTCCAACTCACAAGGCACAGACTGTGCGGAGTCCACAGTGATAACAAGTTCAAACAAGAGCCTCCACTAGCTGCGGTTATTTTTTTCTTTTTAATTCTAAGCTGGTTGAAAGATGACATTCAATGCCAATAAAGTACAATAAAATACTGCCACTAAAGGTAATTATTAATTTCAAATAAGTACTTCTCTTTCCCAAGAGGACCCACAAACATCATGAGATGCAATTTTTTTTTTTGGTACCGGGGATCGAACTCAGGTCCTTCCGCTTGTGAGGCAGGCGGCGGAACCACTGAGCTAAATCCCATTTTTAAAAGAAGGTTACAAAATGTAACCACCTGGTATGTGCTATATCACTTGTGTTTGGCATGAGCTATACATAATTAATAAACTTCCAGAACTGCTGGCACTATGGGAACCATCACTACCTTATAACAAGCAGCCACTGTTAGGCTGCAGGGAAAGAATTTAACAATTTTTTTTTTTTTGGTACCGGAGATCAAACTCAGGACCTTGTACTTGCAAGGCAGATGCTGGAACCACTGAGCTAAATCCCCGGCCAACAATTTAAACAATCTAAGTGTCCATTCTCTGAATGGATAAAGAAAATGTGGCATTTATACACAATGGAGTAATACTATGCCACAAAGAAGAATAAATTTGATTCATTTTAGGAAAATAGGTCCATCCTTATTTCCCCCTAGTCTTAATGGTTCCATATGTTATGGTTGGCTTGGTTCTGTAAGGACTTGGATGATCTAAGGTAAAATCAAGCTCAGCAGCTTTTTAGAATATATATGAAGAGGGGCCTGGGATTTAGCTCAGTGGCACCGCACGTGCCTCAAAAGCGGAAGGTCCTGAGTTTGATCCCCAGTACCAAAAAAAAAAAAAAAGAATATATATGAAGAGCTTTATTATTTTTATTTTGTTCCAAGCCATAATTCAAAATGCATACCAAACATGTTGGTTTTATAGCTAATGTTATCACATGCGGCTCTAATTTTTTTTTTTTTTGGTACCAGGGATCGAACTCAGGTCCTTGCCCTTGCACAACAGGCGGCGAAACCACTGAGCTAAATCCCCGGCACTGCAGATTCTAATTTTAACCTTTACTTAAGAAACTGAGACTTGGGGGTGAGTGATAACATCAAACCATAATCCCATCATCCCAGAGACACAGCAACCCCTGAAGCCATTCAGAAAACATGGTAATGCAAGAATGTGTTCTTTTACCAGTTAGCGCATCTCAACTTCTCTCAAGTTTCCCAAAATTTAACTTAGCCTCTAGTTCACCCCTTTGCAACAATTGCTTCATTTTGTAACCATTCTTTTTCCTTTTTTCCTCCAACTACATGTTTCACAAAATACTAATTTAAAAAATCAGAAATGGATGCATGGGTGGGTTGTGCAGCTCAGTAGTAGAGAACATGCTTACAATGCATAAGGTACGAGGCTCAATCAGCATGACACACACATAAGAAACCAACCTAGGGCCAGGGATTTAGCTCAGTGGTTCTCCCACCTGCCTCACAAGCACAAGGTCCTGAGTTCAATCTCCGATACAAAAAAAAAAAAAAAGAAACCAACCTAAACTTTCAACAATGGGAAAAATCAAGGTCTGGCTATAAAAATGAAATGCCTAGTCAAGCGTTGTAGCACTCACTTGTAATTCCAGGATTATAAAAGGCTGAGATGAGAGGAGTCCAACTTCAAACCCAGCCTGGGCAACTTGGCAAGATCTTGTCTCAAAATAAAAACAAAAAAGGACTGAACATAACTCAGCACACAGGCCAGAGCCTGTTCAATCTCTAATACTGCAAAAAGGAGAAAAAAAAAGAAAGAAAGAAAAAAAGCCACTATCATTAGAAACCATGTTTTTAGCCAGGCATGGTGGTGCACACCTGTAATCCTAGCACTCAGGAGGCTGAGGCAGGAGGATTGTCATGAGTTTGAGGCCAACCTGGGCTACACAGTGAGTTGAAGGCCAGCCTCAACCATATAGTGAAGATTCTGTTTCAAAAAAACAAAAAACAAAAAGGGCCAGGGATGATTTAGCTCAGTGGCACCATGCCTGCCTTGCAAGCTCAAAATCCTGAGTTCGATCCCCGGTACAAAAAAAAAAAAAGTTTTCAAAATCATTCAACGACATATGTCACATTATGTTAAATAAACACAGGATAGAATGCTATATATGAAGAATACTCTGCAATTTGTGTATATATATATATATATATAAAAATAGCTTTAAGAGATATAATAAATGAAGGGGCTGGGGATTTAGCTCAGTGGTTTTGCCGCCTGCTGCACAAGCTCAAGGACCTGAGTTCAATCCCCAGTACCCCCCCCAAAAAAGAGAGAGATATAATAAATGAGAATTAGAATGATTATAATTTCATGACAATTTCTTACAGTTTTATTAAACTTTCTACAATGAATATCCTTCAGTGCCTAGAATATAATTGGCACACAGTAGGTCCCTCAACGTTTTTTCCAATACCAGGGATCAAACTCAAGACCCTGCACTTGTAAGGCAGGTGTGGTGCCACTGAGCTACATCCTCAGCCCCTCAACAAATTCTTATCTGTGTTACAGATGCAACACTGTAAAGGGTTATCTTTAAATACCTATTCCTTTCAGACTCTTTGTTATACAAACATTTAAGTTCCTATTATAAGGAGACAAGATGTTTCTAAAATGTTCAACTCATATAGCAAGAGATAACACTATCTCTCCCTTACTCATTGTAACCTGCACATTTGGAAGAGCTCAAGAGAAAAATTAATCTATATGGACAAGTATCTAGGTCTGACTATTAAAACAGGCATAAAGGTGCCACATTTAATGTTTGAAATAATTTCATCCACACTTCCTAACCAATTCATATAACGTACATTTTTTAAAAAAAGAAAAACAGCTTTTGAATATCCTATTGGCCACTTTCTTGTAGACTAAAAAGAAAGTTCACCTGGACTCAAGAATGGAAAAAGGGAAGAAAATCAGAATGATATGTAAATCTATAGGATTCAAGCATTATAGATGGTACAGGTCTATACTAGGACAGGGGTTTTATTTATTTATTTATTTTTTGAGACAGGGTCTTGTTGTGTAGTTTGGGCTGGCCTAGAACTCACTATATGGCCCAGGCTGGCCTCAAACTCATGGCAATCCTCCTGCCTCAGCCTCCCAAGTGCTGGGATTACAGGCATGTGCCACCATGCCTAGCAGGACAAGTTTTTGATTACTGGTTTCCCCTCAGAAAATGTTTTGTTGGGCATGATGGCCAGCCTGACCTACATAGTGAGACACTGTGTCAAAAAACCAAAAAATAAAGTAAAATAAAATAGAAACCATGTTATCACCTTCCTTTCCAAAGCACAAAAACAATTCTTAAAATTATAGGGTTACTGTTCTACTTGTAGGATAACTCAAAGGATGTAAATAGATTATAACACTCCTTTCTACTGGGGCCTTGAAATAAGTGGGAAGCTTTTATAATTTTGCCTCAATTAGATCAAAGTTTTTAGCCAAATATCACAAATACCATTTTTGTATGGAAGCAAACACAGCTAGATAGAACTATTAGAAGAGGAACCCACTAGCTATGCAGCATTATGAAGTTCCTGTCCGTTACAAATGTAGACACTATCTGAATACCTCCTTGGCAATCTCAAGTGGCAGAAGAGGACAGACAAGGTATTTCACAGGTTACACCTTCATGTGACAATCAGGAGTCCTTTAAATAGCAAGTAAACACAAAAGCATAATCTGTAACAAGTAGATAATACCCTTGTTGTAAAGAAATACCTATAGTTGAAGTAAGTACAGATTTCAGCTTTTGCCAGAAAAATGACATTGTGTCTACAATCTTATTCTTTAAGAAAACAAACTTCTAAAAATGGCTGCACTCAAAAACAGAATAAAAGCATTGGAGAAAATATCCACAAAGCATGGCCTTGCTAAATAATGTCTTTCAAACATAATCAAGGCCTTTTCACTCCCCCTGAAAGACAATGTATGAACAAGCAATGAAATAAGGCAGGTTATGGCTAGCACCAAAACTCACCCTCAAACTGTCTCCAGACAGGAATAAATTGTAGGGGTTGAGGATTCGTTCATAATGCCCTCTGATATGTGAGCCCACAGCTTTGCCAGGAGCAAACCCCATCTTTGTGGCAATTTTGGTCCATTTTCTGTCCTTGCAAACAACTGCAAATCCACCTTCTTCTGCAACTAACTATTAAAATAGGAAAAGAAATTAGAAATGTTTATACAGAAATCACTTCTACCTCTCCCATGCCTCAGTATGACTCCAAGAATGAAATGTTCCTCACTACCTTTTAAAAATACATTTCTCAAGTCAAAAGACAAAATACATGAGCTATTAATTTTAAGGTAGAAAATTAAAACATCTCTTTTGATAGAATGCCCATAAACTTTGTCCTCCCAAAACTACCTCTCACATTCCCAAAGCAGTCCAATAACAAGGTTAACAATTAGATATCTACTCTAAAAAGGACCCCAGTACTTGGTCCTACTCTGCAACCCTTGAAATCTCACAAAGATATGGTGGAAAGAATGGAGGCTTCAGAATTCAGTGGAACCTAGAAATGAATTATGGGTCAGACTTTTTTTAGCTTGCTCATTCGTTTTTTAAATCTTCCCGGGCCTCAGCTTCCTTATTTGTCCTAAAGTGGAAATGAAGAGTTTGCAGGATTATCATGACATTTTAAAATGATAAAATAGGCGGCAGCAAAATGTTGCACAAGATAAGGTTTCCAGTGCCAGGGATTTAGCTCAGTGGTGCCGCCACCTGCCTCAAAAGCGCAAGGTCCTGAGTTCAATCCCCGTTAACCGACCCCCCAAAAAAGATAAGGCTTCCAGATGTGATAGGAGGAGCCCAACCCTAATCACTCCACCAAACTGAAACTTTCATTTTATACATTTCAAATAGTAAGTTTCTTTTTATGGCAAAGAAGATCAAATTCATTCTGTTAGATTATTAAACAAGTAAGTGGACATTACCACTCTACCTTATTCAGCTGAAACAAGTCCAAGATCTTCCTCTCCACATGTGGAATTTTCAGAGTGCTTCCCTGTAACTCCCAGTACTTTGCAATCTGGTCCAGGAAATTCAATTTTACACGAGTTTGAGCCTAAATAACAAAGAAATAGAATTTAACTCTGCCTAGCTTCTTTCTTTCTTGGAAGGAGGGGTAGTGTTTTGCTGTTTCCCAGGCCAGCTCCAAACTCTTAGGCCCGGGGACTCTGCAGCCATAGCTTCTCTAACAGCCGAGACTACAGGTGTGGTACCACAACAGGTACTCACCTAGCTTATTTTAAAGGTCTTGCCTTCCCATGTGATATTTTTACTCTTACAGTATTAAAATACAAAAGCACTTTTTTATTTTGTTTTGTTTTTGTTTTTTTGAGACAGGGTCTCACTATGTAGTAGTTCAGGCTGGCTTTGAACTCACTATGTAGCCCAGGGTGGCCTCAAACTCATGGCAATCCTGCTTCAGCCTCCTGAGTGCTGGGATTACACGTGTGCACCATCACACCTATGCTCAAAAGCACTTTCTGAATTCAACCAAGAAAAAGTCAAAAAATAAAGGTTAAGATGTGTTATGTACATTTAACAACTCTCCACGAGGAATGTAATCACTAGCTCACATGTACTAATAAAACAAAAAAAAATTTTTTTTTGAGACAAGGTCTTGAGATGTAGTTCAGACTGGCTTTGAACTAATCATGTAGAGTAGGCTGGCCTCGAACTTATGGCAATCCTCCTGCCTCAGCCTCCCAAGTGCTGGGATCACAGGCGTGCGCTACCATGCTTGGCTAAATATTCTTTTAAAGACCCCACCATGTACCAAGCAAGGCGTTAAACACTCAGTAAAACCTTCTGCGACATGAGTAGTCACTCGGAAAGATGTTTCATTTAGAAGATTTTATAACTCAGCTATTTTGGAGGCTAAGGCAGCAGGATCCCAAATTTTTGTTTGTTTCTTTATTTTGTTTTGTTACCGGGGATCGAACTCAGGACCTTGCACTTGGAAGGGAGGTGCAGCACCGATCTAAATCCCCAGCCCAGGAGGATCCCAAGTTCTAAGCCAGCTTGAACAACTTAATGAGATCCTGTCTCAAAATAAAACAAACACACACACACTGGGGCTTGGTGGCACAGGCCTATAATCCTATGGGAGGCTGAGGCAGGAGGATCTCAAATTCAAGCTCCACCTGGGCAACTTAGTGACTTAGAGGAGCCTGTCTCAAAATAAAAAATATAAAAGCTGGGCACAGATGTGCTCACTTTTAATGCCAGCACTTGGGAGCTATGGTAGGAGTTCAAGGCCAGCATGGGCTATATGAGTTCAAGACAGCAACACAGCAAGACCTTATCTCAAAAAAAGATCTAAAATAAAAAATAAGGGTTAGGGATATAGCCAAGTGCAAAGGCCCTGGGTTCAATCCCCAGTACCATAAAAACTAAAATAAAATTTTCTGCTGGGCATGGTGGTGCATGCCTATAATCCCAGCACTCCCAAGGCTGAGGTAGGAGAATCGTCATGAGTTTGAGGCTAGCCATGGCTACATAGTGTGCTCAAGTCAGCCTGAACTACATAGCGAGATTCTGTCTCAAAAACAAACAAACATACATACATATGTACACACACACAAATTTAAAAGGCAAAGGATGTAGCTCAATTGGTAGTACCCTTGCCTAGCGTTACAGGGCACTGGGTTCAATCTGTAGCACCACAAAAAAAGAAGTATCGTAAGCACAATTTCATGTCATTGCTTAAAATTATATGACAAACTTCTTCCATATCCCCACGTAAGACCAAAAACTTGGTCTTTTTATGACTGGATATTTTAAAAGGTCTATTCCCTACAAATGAAAATTATCTCATTTGCTCAAACACAAATATAAAAACAGACTGACAACAGTGATTCTATACCAATTTTAATAAGCCCTAATAATTAAAGATAGCAGAAAACTTTTAAAAGAGTCATTCCTTAAATTATCACTATCCTGTACAGGCTATTTTTCTCTCCTCTCCTTATAAAATTTAAGTCAGACACTTTGGGGAGTTTTATCTTGCACACCAGTCCAAACTTGGGGTCAGTCTTCAGGTGTTCCACAGCACTGTCATGCTCTCAAGGTAGAGCCTGTCTCCTATTTTCAAGTTCAAACTAAAATCTGAAAATACACTGAAATTTTTTTGCTATACCAGGGATCGAACTCAGGACCTTGTGCTTGTGAGGCAGGTGTGGTGCCACTGAGCTAAATCCCTGGCCCCTTGAAATTCTTAAAAATATAGATATTAAATGTTATAATATCTATACAATTCTATTTGGTATGTGTTCTATTCAAGGTAAGGATGTTTGATTCCATGTAGAAAAACCAAACATGGTTCTCAGTGTTAAAATCAGATTTGCAAATATTAATGTAAGTAACCTGTCTCTGTGTTATCAATACCTTAAATCTCATCCACCCTGCACTTTAAGCTTTCAGTAGTGTAAAATCTGAAGACATGGGCCACGGATTTAGCTCAGTGGTACCACCGCCTCCCTCGCAAGCACAAGGTCCCCAGTACCAAAAAAAAACAAAAACAAAAACAACTGAAGACATTACCTGTTCTATAGAAAATCTCCCATATTCCACACTCTTCATTGGGAAGCTAAAGTGTATTATTAAATTTAAATGATGAAGTTATGCACTTGGAAGAAAATTAGGCTGTAGAATTTTTTCTCTTGTACGGTTTTCAACATTGACTCTTCTCAAAACCTAAATTCCAGTGATTATCACTTGAATGTAGGATTCATATGCATAAAATGACTGACAAAACTCAGTGGGATTGGCTACAATGGCCTTACTATAATTAGTTTTACCAGTATTACTAATTATTGGCCATATTTTCAATTTGCAGAGCCTGTTCAAAGGTGACCCTTCTATATATACCGGAACACTAGTGAGGATGTTACCTCCAATTCGTTCAGCCGCTGGATACGTGGGGTAAAATGAAGTTTATCAACATCACATGCAAATGGTGGCTGCCAATCCTAGGAGAGAGCAAAAGCTCTTATTAGAAGAATTCATAATTATGTAATATTTAAAAACTTATTTTACAATTAAAAGCAAGGTTATATGAACCTAACTCTAACCAGTTAATCAATGTATACAGAGGTGGTTTCTCAATCTTTTTTCCAGCAGACAGCAGAATACTGTATGAATGAACACCCACCCATTCTCACATTAGAGACATCCCATATGCACCTTTCCCCACTCTGACCCAGCAATGTCACTGAGCCTCCACCTCTGTGCAAAAGTCACTCATTTAGGCAAAAGAATGTCTCTATGACCACAGAAGTATTTCTCTATAAAACAGCCATATTGTCAAATTACCTATAAAATATTTTTATATATCTAACCATCCAGTAACATTGGCTTTTAGTACAAAATTGAAGACAAATTCTTCAGTATAGGGAGGGGAAACCAACATCCAAAGCCAATTTTTTTTCCCCCGGTACCAGGGATTGAACTCAGGACCTTGCACTTTCAAGCCAGACACAGCGCCACTGAGCTGAATCCCCAGCTCAAAAGCTAATTTTATAATCATCTTAATTTGTCTACTCATACTCATATCTGTTCTCTAGAGAATTCCCAATTATGGAAGATGCTATCATAAGGAAATAAGCAGAAAAGTATACATGAACTGTTACCTATATGTGGAGACAAATGTCCACAGAAGGTATAAAAGGCATGCTGTTTTAATGAGTTTCAGTTTAGGATAATGAAAGGTCTGCAGGTGGATAGCAATGATAGTTGCACAACAAAGTGAATGAACTCAGTGCCACTGAATGGTACCCTAAAAAGAACCATGACAGGACAAACATTTAGAAAGTTTCTCCTGTTGTTTGACAGAGCATCTCTAAATGGGAGTGCAGCAGAAAGTGTAACCAAAGGAATCATTATGCTTCCAGAAAAATCTCAAGGTAAAGAAAGTATTGCAAGCAAAGGTAGCAGCTGTGGGATCAGATTCTAAGGTAAATGTGGACAGATTCAACCAGTTAGCATGAAAACTGGAAATAAAAGTTCTTCTCCCAGAATATAGAGGCACCAAAGTAATCCAGACGACAGAGATAATTTTTTATGTAGAGATGGTGACATTCCTGAAAAGCAGGTAGACTGAAATAAATCACTTGAAATGGCATTAAGTGGCACTGCCCATTCCACTGAACCAGTTATGTCTAATCTAAAAAAAGGTACAATGGCAAATTATACATGACATATTTTACTCTTTTAACCCAACTGAGGAAAAAAAGCAAAAGAAAAGAAAAATTCTATACTAGAGACATCTATTCGTTGACATGGGGAGATCTCCCTTATTTATGTTATGCAGAAAACATGAAATAGGCTTTGCAACTTAAAAAAAAAAACTGAAAATATATTTAATAAAAGAGTTAACAGTAGTTCTCACTATTGGTGACAGGATTACAGGTGATTCCACTTCCTTGACCATTCTATTAAATACAAATCTGAAGTATGTTAAAGAATAAATGCATTGGGCTGGGGATTTAGCTCAGTGGTGCCACCGCCTGCCTCGCAAGCACAAGGTCCTGAGTTCAATCCCCGGTACCAAAAAAAAATAATGCACTAATATTTATTAAATGATAAAGAAAATGTTAACTCAATGACACTAGTATCCTTTACCACAATTTCATACTCAGAAAAGTTATTCTAAGAAAATAATTCAAGGAGCACCAACAAACCACATGCAAGGATGAGCAGTGGCAAACACAGTCCCAGACATCTCTGGAAAGCTGAGGCAGGAGGAAAGTTCAAAAACAAAAAAAAAAAGAAGAAAGTTCCAGCTCATCCAGCTGGACAACGTAGCAATTCAATGAGACCTTGCTTCAAAATTAAAAGTTACAAAAAAGGCCTGGGGGTATAGCTCAGTGTAGCAGCCCCGTATTCAATCTCCAGTACTGAAGGGAAAAAAAAGAGAGAGAAGAAAAAAAGACTAACAAACTTATTTACAGAAAAATGGGCAAAACCAGGCATGGTGGTACAGGCCTGTAATCCCAGCGCTCAGGAGGCTAAGACAGGAGGATCATTGAGAGTTCAAGGGCAGCCTGGACTATGCACATAGAAAGACCCCGTGTCAAACAAAACAAAATGAAACAAAACAAAGTAACAATAGAACAGGCAAACTCTATTATTAATAGTTAGCAAAGGAAAATGGCCAACCGTAAAAGATTGGTGCCCCAACTCATTCAAAATTCAAGAAATATAGCTGGGGATTTGGCTTAGTGGTTCCGCCGCCTGCCTCAAAAGTGCAAGGACCTGAGTTTGATCCCCAGTACCAAAAAAAGAGAAAAGAAAGGAATATACAAGCTAATTGTTTTCACAAACTATGTTAGCAAAAATTTAAGATATATGTACTACCAATATTAGGAATATGTGAGGAACTGTGTACTCTCAACAGTAAAAAGTTTTTGGAGGGCAATTAGGAAGCTTTCTAAGGCATACGAACTCTAACCAGCAATTCCCTCTGGTAAGAATTTACAAGTATTATTACCATTCACAGCACTAGGATACAGGAACAACAACAAAAAATCACTGCAGAATTGCTGACTTAAAATCTAGTATTTATCATTGGAGAATACGTTAAATACATGTTGGTACATGGGTAAAAATTAAAATACTATGAAGGTATAATAAATAAAAATTAAAGAACATCAGAAGAGGGGTGGGGATATATTGCTTGCTCAGTGGTAAGAGTGATGGCCTCACCTGTGAGATCCTGGGTTCCATACTGAAGAAGACGAAGAGAGGTATACTGTTGAAATTTATTACTATAGTTTGCTTTTAGCATAAAAGTAAAACAAGATTTTGTTTAGTGACAGGAAAGTCTTTAGTTAAAATGCTCACCAGCAATGACTGATAAAAGGTTGAGTTGAAAAGCAGATTACAGGGCCAGGCATGGTGAGGCAATGCCTGTAATCCCAGCAATGGGAGGCTGAAGCAAGAGGATCAGCCTGGGCTAAGACATACAAGGCTGGCCTGGACTACACAGTGAGACCCTATCTCAAAAAGAAATTAGTACAAACTATTTGGTGAACTATCTTACTATATATTTTTAAAAATGAATGAAGAGGGGCCAGAGATTTAGCTCAGTAGTTCCGCTGCCTGCCTCAAAAGCGGAAGGACCCAAGTTCAATCCCTGGTACCAGGAAAAAAAAAATGAATGAAGAAATAAAAATGGCAGCATTAACTGTTTAAGAATGCAATAAATACAGGTAAACTCTTCAGTTGTTTAATGTCATATTGCCCTATCAACAGAGAATATGGCTAATCTTTAAGAGGCAGCTAATAATATACTAGACTGTTAAAAGTTAAAAATACTCCACACTGGGGCAAAAAGATGAAAGTCTGATTTGTTGTTTAGCTCAAAAACTAAAGATAATGTGTTTTATTGTACAGAATACAAACAAGTAGAATAAAATTAGAATAAAATCACACTTAATAGTCTATGGGAATGGCCGGGGATTTAGCTCAGTGGTTCCACCGCCTGCCTCGCAAGTGCAAGATCCCAAGTTCCATCCCTGGTACCAAAAAAAAAAATCAGATCCCTGCAAAGTTTGTCTCCTCTTCTGGTTACAAAGAATGGGAGAAAAAGAGAGGAATGTCATTCTATTTTGGATTTTTTGCCATCAGGTGAACACTGTACTGCAATAAAAGAATTACATATTATTTAGATGCTCAACACCACAGGAACTGAGATATCTTTGGCAAAGCCTGGCCTCATTGAGTCATGAGTTTTAAATGAGAAGAGTAAATAAATAAGAAGGGTGAAAAAACTATTAAGAAAGATAACTAGATGGGGCCGGGGATTTAGCTGGTTGGTTCCACTGCCTGCTTCAAAAGAGCAAGGTCCTGAGTTCAATCCCCAGTACCAAAAAAAAAAGATAACTAGAAGAAAAAGGCTCTAAGAAGTAAAAACCTTGAAACAGGGAAAATAATTCTCAAATTAGCCAAATAATCAAACCCTCACTTAAGAAACACTGTGAAAATTTTTGATTGGTACTTAACTATCAAAAGGGATACTATATAATCTTACCAAAATAGTAAAAACCTTTAGCCCCATTCAAGAAAGTGTATCATAAATCATATTTTCCCACAGAAAAACAGCATTTTCCTTCCAAAGAGAATAAGATTCAGATTGCAAGCAGTTCTATAAATTCCCTGCTGAGGTTTATTTTTAATTTCCTTTGCTTTTAAAACTTTAAAATACTTTTACTCTAACCCTTTCAAAACAAAAAGTACAAGAACTAGGCCTGGGGATCTAGCTCAGTGGTTCCGCTGCCTGCCTTGAAAGCGCAAGGACCTGAGAGTTCAATCCCCGGTACCAAAAAAAAAAAAAGTTCAGTTATTTTCCTTAGCACTCAAAAATGTATTCCTTAGGAAAGCAATTAAGTAGGAAGCTGAAGCTTCGAAATCCTCAGAGAGATCTGAGAAACATCAGGTAAACATTTTCTTTAGTCCCAGCACTAACTTGGCAATAACAACTTAAAGCAATTTAACAGAACTGTTTCAAAAATAAAATCAACCAGGGTGAGAATAACTTCCAAAGGATATTTTCATAAATGCCACAAAAATTCATTCTCTGAATGATTCTCCATTAGCATCCATATATTTAATGTATTAGAATATTCTTTTAATCTTTCTAATTATAGAGGCTGTCATCATTTTGGGGTCTGGTAATTAGCAAAATGAGTACGTATACTCTAGACAGAGGCTACACAAGTTGTTTCTGAGTCCCTGAAGACAAAAGCAATTAAAAATCTGTGTCAAAAGCACATTCTTATTAGTTTACAAAGAATAACATTAACTAAGGACCAAAGCATTTTTCTAATTGTATATGTTACATGAAACTCAATCATCACAGAATAAATGCACTCACAGGATTTCAACCCAATGCCAGCAGAAATGAGTAATTTTTTGAATTCATATTTTAGTTTACAGATTAAAAAAATTAACACAAAACAAGTGCAAAATT